TTATTAACATTAATTAAATAAAAAAATCAATACTTGCAAACAATAATTGAAATTAATATGATAATTTTTCAAATTCTTAATATACTACACATATACGTGCAAACCTTTTTTTTCTTAGCCAAATAATTTATTAATCAACTAAAGGCTCTCAAAACTAGCAACAAGCTTTGGCAAAAAAATTAAAAAAAAAAAAAAAAAAAAACTCCAAAGCAAGCATTTGAACGTTTAACTTAATTTAATTAATTTATTATAATTATTTATAAAAAAATAATATTTAATAAATTTAAGATTCGAATTTTAATACATATATTTTTTTATTTTATCCCAAGATTTGATCTTCTTTATAAAAAAATAAAAAATAAAAAAAGCATCTACAAATTAAGACAGAAAAATATATACCGAAGCCAAATACTTCCAAAGAATGTCAGATTAACAAATCAAGCCCCAAAAAATAACAAACCAATAAAATTAATTTTTTGGCTACAAACGATACATTTTGTCCCAAAATCTTAAAGTCCCAAAGGTCACGTCATGAGTTTATGGTCACGAGAGTTTCAGTTTCGTTCTTAAAGACTTTTTTAGTTTAGAATGTTTCAATTAAGAAAACCAACCTGATAGCCATTGTATAGCCGGCTATAATAAAATTGAGAAAGAACAGTAGAGTTGATTGATGTTAATTTACTGTATATTTATTAGAGTTTATATTTATTAGACTAATGATATATAAATTTTATACACAATCATTAAATGATAAATTATCATGAAATCGTCACAAATCTATCACACAAATTACCACATTATCAATAAATAAATTTGAAAGTTAAAAAGTCCTTAAAAATAAATTGAAGTGAACTTTTGTTATTTATTTTAGGACTTTTAATTTTTTTTTGAAATTGTTCATTAATAATGTCAGAACTTGTGATTTAATGATAACTTATAAAGTTTATACACTATCAATGTATCAAATATAAACATTTAATATTAATAGGTAACAAGTAACAATAAGACTTAATTAAGTTTTGAGACTTAAACTTTGAGAAAATATACAAATTATTACCTAAATAAATAAAATGTATAATTTACATCATAAACTTTCAAATAATATATTATTTTAATTCAAATATTAATATTGTTAACTTAATTCATCTATATGGTATCTAAATAGTATAATTTTGTTATGTAAATATTTTTTGTTAAATAAAAATATTAAATATTTTGTAAAAATCTTCGTGTGCGTGTTATGTGATAAAATATAATTGATTGATTTTAGACATTTTTTACGAATTGAATAAAAATATGTATTATAATTTATATTGAAAATAAATGTTAATAGTATGTGTAGAAAAAACATAATTTGATAATATGTATTCTAATTTATATTGAAAATAAATGTTAATAGTATGTGTAATAAAAACATAATTTGATAATATTTATCAAGCATCGTATATATAAACTTATATAATTAGTAAGATTAGAGTTTTGGTTAATATGATATATAATTTAAAAGTTTAAGTTACAAATTATATATTATTTGAAAGTTTAAAATGTAAATTGTACATTTTATTTTTTTATGTACTAATTTATATATTTTTTAAAAAGTTCAAATACAAAAACTGAAATTAACTCTAATAACAACTAGATTTTATTATGATGGAAATAGATAAAGAGTCGAGGACTTTTCTTAACGATTGAAATTAGCTTTCCCAATTAGAAACAAGAGAGTGGTGAATAATGATCAATGGCAATAAATAATTAGCTTTTCCGAACAACATTATAAGGTCTAAAGAGGTTCTTCCTTGACTTGATGACCCCGTAGAGTTGAAATCGAAACATGTTCTATGATTGTTGCATGATATTTCGTTCATTAATTTGTTGGATCTAGAGGTTGTAATTGGATGGGTTTGGATTAGACTATTTCGGCTCAAGTAATTTCAGATTTAAAAAAATTAAGATAATTCGAATTTAGATTATTTTAAATTTGATATTTGGGTGTTCAAATTCGAATTATTTTAATATTTAAAATTAATTTAATTTCAAGTAAAAAATTCGAATAATTTAAATTTAAATTATTTTAAATTTAATATTTGGATATTCAAATTCGAATTATTTTAAAATTTCAAAATTAAATCAATTTAATTTCAAGTCATTTATTAAATTTGAATCATTTTATATTCAAATTAATTCGGATTTGGGATAAGTTAATTAGGGTCTTTGAGCTTGAATCAACTTCGTTAGCACTAATTGAATTCCAATATTCTGATAAGTACATTTCATTCGGTGTGTGTGCATCCAAAGCTTTCCTCACAAACAACAGCAGGATATATGAAAAATACTTAAAAATGACCAAACCAGAGACGATGTAATATTCTAGAGATGCCTCGTGTGAATTCAAAAACTGGCTTTCACCATGCTTCATCGTACAGAACTTCACTAATTGACCTTAATCACTGTTTCACATAATTCAACTTTCAACGTAGCATTTAGATTTGAAGTGTTACATGCACCAATGGATGAGTGCAGTGAATGAAAGCAAAGTTAAATGTTTGTTAGAATGAATCGATCTTTCCACAACTATAAGGACTTGACTCCCTAAACAATTAGGGTGAAAAGAATTACTTCGATCCCTCGTGCCCCTGAAGTTCTTGACCCAGCTTAACAAATAAAGGGAACACCAAATATTTTTCACTTCTTTTTTTTAGGTGCTGGCTGGTTCTGCTCATCATCGTCGTCATCGTCATCATCTTCATCATCCTCTCCATCATCTTCATCATCCTCTCCATCATCATCATCATCATCATCATCATCACTTCCTTCGTCTCCATGAGCTTCAACATCATCATCAGAATCATCCTCATCATTGTCACTCCCTTCTTCTGACTCAGCTTCATCATCCTCATCATCAGTTTGATCACTATTGTCATCGTCGTCGTCATCCTCACTTTCACCAGCATCTTTGTTCTCAGAAACAGGGTCTTGAATTTTAATAAGGTCAGCCAAAGGAAATCTGCAATGCGGTTGGTATATCCACTATCATAATTGTGATAATCAATGAAAAGTCAAACTAAGAAACAACTAAATTCATCCCTACCTCTGATCTACAGAAATGGTCATCTCATTGGGCTTAGTAGATCCAATCTGGAAAAGAATTTTATAAGAAAATATGTAAACATAGTTGGAGAACCATATAAAGAAGCATATGGTAACAACAGCATATTTCCAAACCAATTGCTGAAATTCCTTTCAAAAAATGAAAGAGCAAAACACAAGAAAATGCATAATGGAGATTAGCAAGGAGGAAATGAACAGGGACAATCCACCTCAAAAAAATGAGTAAGCAATCTTGAAAATGATGTACAAAGCTCAAAAGCAAGTAATTGATGGACAAAGATGGAAGATATACAATCGCGATGTTTTATATTTACAAAATGTGACAGTATCCGGAGCACTAACCATATCTCACCATTCAGCTGGAAGTTAAAAACCTACCTTGACAAACTACACAATAAATCATACGAGAATGAAGCCAAAACATAATCACCAAACCTAAAATTTTAAAATCATTATCTTTTTTCCACTTTCAACAACCAAACCCCAATATACTCTTTCTCTTACAACATGATTACATGATATAAAAACAGTAGGAACAAAAAATGAAAATGGTAGTTTAAAATTTTAACAAAAACCATATATAGATTTCACACAAGCCAAAAAATGTGTTTCGTATTTGATTTGTGAACATGAATTGTGAGATGACAATTTTGCATTTCACACATGTTTAACACAAAATAAATGCGACATGAATATATGAATTGATAGGTATACATTGAAATGCAAATTTCAAAGGGTTTGACAGTTCCCCCTTGCATATGCTTGAGTGGTTGAAAGAAGATTTAAAAGTTTTAACATCAATGATAGATCCCTAACTGTTTTTAACATCAATGATAGATCCCTAACTGTCTGCTTAAGCTGATTGTTTAGGAAGAAAGAAAAATGTTGGCCAACCAATTTAATTGGCGCTATAAGCTCAATTCACAAAATTGCTCGCAAGTCAAAACCTAAAACCAGAAAAAAGAACCTTTGAACTTAAGATTTGAATGATATGAAACTCTATTATCTTTCCTCTTCCTTGAATTATTATATATAATGAGATGCAGAACATCAGTCTCAATCCATCAAAACTATCCAAAAGAGAATCCAGTGCATTGGTTATGAAATTGACCACATATAAGCTATGAAAGCATCAAAAGATAGAAGCATTTTTAATCGAAACCTCAACCATGCTCATTTGACAAACCATAAAAAGAAAATGCACCAAAAATTACAAGACCAAAGACTGGAATCTATCTTGCCAACCAAAAACTACCCAGACATCTAAAACATGAGTATCATTAAAATACGAAAAAGAAAACACAAAAAAAAAAAAAGGTGAGAAATGCACCGGAAATAGAAGCTAAAGAAGTGACAGTTAATAAAGGGCTGAGAAAGAAAAAAGAGTTGGGGGGGGGGGGTACCAAAGACAAAAACAGAATGAAAAAGTGTTTCAGAATTAATTGGAAAATCAACGAGAATGTTAGTGGTTGAGTGAACAAGGGACTGGGGTTTTGACATGTTTGTCGTCATCTTCGTATTCACTCTCCGCCACTCCACGTCATCTTCCATTTGTCATCTTTTTTTTTGACTTGACAATTCTAGTCTAATTCCCAGTTAATAATTATGTGTACAAAGGTGCCCATGCTATGGTATCAAAATATATTCATAAAAAGATTATTTCAGGAGTTCGAAACCCCCATCAATCATCACTCGGATATTTGATTTATTTAATTTATTTGAGTGATGCATGATCTTTTGTTCCTTAAAAAGAATTATAAATTTTTTTAATAAAAAAATAGAATTTCATCAAAAGATAAAAAAGAAACTGGTCAAAAATATCATGTAATCTTAACCTAATTTTTTTAAAAAATGGGTCAAAACTACCATTCTTTTCCAAAAAAAAAAAAAAAAGTCACAATGCTCTCCAACTGTGGAAGGTGATTCTTGCTTCCCACCTAGAAAAAGGCTTTAAGGTGAAGAAAATGATAGTAGTATGAGATTTCATATTCCAACAGCAAACGTTTAGTAGTACGAGAAATCCTGGGTCTCCATCACTATTAGCGGATACATTGGCAATCACCTGACTCCAGACAGGCTTACATGTTCAGGTATTTTTGTATTCATAAAATGGTCAGCCAAGAGAGGAGAGGAGCCAGGCAGGTTATATAAGGTCAAAATGGTCTTATCCAGTGATCATAGTAAACAAGCTTTAAAACCCTTCTCCAATTCTAGTGCATTTAAGTTCTTCCCAATGAATACAATCTTGTTTACTCTGGGTTCATCTGTACCCCATAATCGATCCGGTGAGCCTTGGAACATGTCATGAACTCCCTGTTCAATTCCAAATATAGTCACAATTCAAGACTCTCAGAAAAAACAACATATAAATAAATAACTGAATATCCCTTCATTGCACACGCACACACAACAGTCTAATGTTTGCTTATGCAGGTTCATCTCAAATATGTCCCACGAGAAATTGTATCAGCCACAATCATTTTCCACGAAGACTAACTTAGCAATGGTTAAGACATCCAAAAAAGTGATGAAGGTACTAAAAACAAGAGAATCGAAAGTGATAAAGACACTACGAAACAATGCAATTAGCTTAATACAGAATTTGGATGATACAAAGATATAATACAATAAGAGATTCTCAATTGACAGGTCAGTACAGCAGATGACAACAAGAAAACAGCCAAACAAATGAAAAAGCCTTTTTGGTTACCTGAAAGACGAATCTCTCATCCATACCCTGAACAGAAAGAAGACCTTTCATCCGATAAATGTCCTCGCTACATTCCAACAGCAATGTACCTAGCCATATGTTAGCCTGCAAGAAAATAGTGGAAGTAAATGATGAAAGCTTTTAACACTTAATAGCCAAACAAAAGCTTTCCACAATAATGAAAACAAAATTCCAAAGCATCTATGAAGACAGGAAAATCCCATTACTAATTAGAAAGGCCAGTTCATATGTACATAATTTTCATAAGGATCATAAAAATCAATCTACTGATAAAGGATAGAGTATGCTTTATAACCAACCTTCTCAAGATCCAAGCTCCCTTCACAAACTATGCTGACAGAGGAAACCCCTGGGTCATGAGTATGATCAAGGGAATGATCATCATGATGATGTTCTGCATGTGAAAGTTCAATGTTAGCTTCACCATAAGTAGTAGAAGAGTAAAGCTTTTAACAAGTTCTGCATATAAAAGTTCAGCCTGTTCACAAGAGATTTGTAAAACTAGCAAGCATGCATAAACACTTCCAAATCCCCTTCCCAATGAAAAACCAAAAACAACAGAGCCCAAATATAGGGTAAGTGGGGAAAGAAAAATGAAAGAGGCCATTTAACACTAACCTAGCAGTAACTAATGACAAACTGTGGATAGGGATGGCATTAAGGAGGGAAGAGATCCACAGCATAAGGAGTATAGGTTGTTATCAGGTAATTTGTGTAGATAGGATAGCTACAATATTTGATTTTTTGCAAGCTCCAGTTCCCTGAGATAAAACTTGTTGCCAATATCAATAACCAATAGCATCAAGGAGGGCTTCAGGCTCTGAATCATTATAGAAATAAGCATCACATATTTCTAATAAGCTAATCTCAGTTCTTCTTGATCTTCTAAAACCTGCCCATTTTTCCTCAAACCACAAACTTCATATTAAGATCTTAGCCTAAAGCATTAATATGTCATTGCTCAAGTGCCAAATCCACATCAAACCAAATTTTCACATATTTCAGGTTCACAGATTTGAAAAAGTGAATCTGCATATCTGCACTTAAGATGACAATTTGGCCACCCTCTATGAACACCATCACATGAAAAAGCAACAAATTAGGTGGTAACCAAAGTAGCAACTAGCCTGGGAATTCTCTATAGCAGATAAACTTTTGGCATATTATCTCTTTCAGCAAGTTGACAACGAAGCATAACTTTAAACTTGTTCTTGCTTCCTAGCATCTTCCACCAAATATTTCAGTTTCTTTGTCCAACAACAACCCATTTAATCATTAAGTAAACTAGGCCATGGATGATTCAAAATTTATTATGAAACATCATTAGAAATTATTCAATATTCGCTACCTGATTTATTAGAGTGTGATTAAAGCACAAAGTAAGGCTTCTATCCATATGCAAAACAGAAATTACAATTTGACATCACTTAGACGAGAAATGATGAAAACAACAAAGAATACTGCAGATATAGGAAGAAAGCAAACCAAATAACTATTCGAAACATAAATAAACCAAATACCACGCTTCAAGGATAATATAAAAAAGTGAAAATTATTGCTAATAAGGGCAAATATGAAATATATGAAGAAACCATTTAAAACAGATGCAAAATGACTATTTGGTATCATAACAACTAAAGTTACCATGTTTATGGTCATGTTCATCATGATGATGATGGTGATGATCGTGGTCATGATCATGATCATGGCTATGGTGAGCATGATCTTCCTTTCCACCTTCATCATTGACAGAACTCTCAATCCTGGCAATATTTAAGCAAGAAAGTTAGTCAACAACAAAAATTCAGGGGGTGATGAAAAGCCAAGAATTATAAGTAAATCAATGACCATCAATAATAATAAGTCCTCATAATGCCAATGTCACAGATGAAAGTAAATCTAGCCTACAATAAAGCATAAGCATGAACAACCCAACAAATCCAGAGAAGACTCAGTCAGAATTTTCTGATATTGTTGAAAAATAACAAGTAAACTCAAAAGTTGTTCGATCGGTGAGCGTATAAACTGCATAGAGACAACAAGAGGTATTTAATCTAATCACAAGACAAATGTTACATGGCACGTCTATAAAGTGATAGCCTGAACCAAAAATAAGCACCGTAAACCCACGTATCGAAAAGCTTTGATATGGGTAATCATTCCCTATTCTGCATGCACAATACAATCCATCACTCTTATCTGAATAATGTGAGGCACTACCAATAAAGAGTTCCAAAAATATGACTCAACAACAAAAGATAACTCTATCAGCAATTGCAAATAACTTGATGGCATTGTCGAAGTTCAAAAGCTGATCAGCCAATTCAAAGAGAAACTTAGACACTATAATATGAAACCTGAAACCCTGGGCAACTTAATCCATTCTAACTTCCTTATTCAACTGAGATGCCTTTACACCTATTGTCCTCAACCCCCATTCCTATCCCTCCCTTTTTAAGAGGGAAGACATGGGGCTTCAAAAGTGTAATCCTACTCATTATACAATTTCTTTCTTGTCCCTCTTGAGAGAACCAAGGCAACTGATCTGCACAAATCTATCTTGCCAGAAACAAACAATCGCAAAGATTCCACTACAAGACATTCAATGTTCATCCATTAAAAACACAGCCAACAAGACACTGCAATGCCAAACAAAAGAAAGCAACATATGCCATTTCTTAAAAGAGTTCAGCACCTGAGCAGCAATAATTCCTCTACTAATCAGAATATTAAGGAGATGGACAACTAGACATTAAAATCACTATATTACACCAAAGCAGACATCTAAATAAAAGATATGGTCAGCACATCACCCTCCAACCATCCTACTTGTACATTCTTGAGAGGCCCACCCAAATAATCAGTTCCTAGAAGCTGTCTAACATCCTTAACTCTCTCAGCAAAATAAGTCACATATATCAATACAATGATAAATGACATGAAAGTTTTTGCGGGAATCTTCCTTAGTTCCAGAGCATAAAAACCTCAACATAAGAGTCAACAAAAACTCCATTCTGAGCCAAATTTTTCAATATAAAAGAGCTAAAGCAGAACTTTAAGGTCACTTTTCATACGAGCACAAGTGAAACAAAAATGGAATAAAAAGAATGATACTAAAATAATATGAAATATAATATTATCCAATGTTGCCAGGAAACAGGCGGTCAACGACAGATTGAACATTCCTCGACTGGAAAACACAAATTTAAGACATAGGGTTCACATATAATAAATCATACAGAGGATGTTTGTCAAACTATTTTCCCATAAGGTAAAATGAGAAATAAAAAGTAAAGCATTAAAGAAACATTTCGAAGCTCAACCTTCCCCTCCTCTCTTCTCCCCTTCCCCTTTTTAAAATAAAAGGGAAAGAAAGGAACAGATAAAAAGACAATTGATGAGATTAACGAAAACATTGATTTTACCATCCATGAGGTAGTGTATCACTAAAATGGTGTGCAACAGGAAGAATTCAATGAAATAGTATTCCAATATGGAAAAGAAGCTCAGATGGCAATTCTAAGACCAAATCAAAGTGTAGGAACAATTGTTGCTCAACAGCAAAAGAAGACGATGTTGATAAAATGGCAAAAACAGCAATATCAGTATTAATTGCTATAAAGATTTCCTTCACCAACAATGGAGCTACTAAATAAGAGCAGAAAACAACCTCTCCAAATCAAACCCCCCAATTCCAAGAACATAATCCAAGTCAACTTTTCCAAACTCTGTGCGCTTGAGATGAGCCATTCGATTGATGTTCTGCAAGCAGACAATGTCATCTTCAGTCAGAACTACTCAAAATAAACAAGTAGTAATTACAGGTATGCTAATTTGCAATAAAATTATTTAATAATAGAAAAGCAGAATACACACCCTTATCCGTTTAACCAAGGAAGCAATTTCCGGTTCACCAACAAGATCAGTCTAGCAAAAGTGCAAATAATCATATCAGCTAGCCATTAGAGAAACAAATTCAATATGATAACTAACATATATCCTACGAGAGTCTATGAATAACATCTGGTTGAGGTAGCTTTTAAGAACCATAGAATCAGAAAAATGAAGGAAGCTGTTGAAATGAGCTAGTAAAGTTCAACATATGGTTTCAAGGAAATCACAAATGTGGCGGCCACAATATCAGGTAATGATATGAGTCAAAATTCAAGAGAATGAACAAGTTCAAACTTTTTAGAATACAATGTTTCGATTTGATTTTGACTAATCACAAGCACCTTGTTTACAATTATGCGGTCAGCATAAGCAATTTGCTCTACCGCCTCATTGACCACACCCTTGGGTTTGACCTCATCCAGATGAAAACCAGCATGTTTGGCATCAACTAAAGTAACAACACCATCCAACTTGACATCATTGAAAACCTGATCCTCGGAATAAAATGTCTGAATGATTGGTGCTGGATTTGCCAATCCTGATAATGTGAATATGGAATGTAAAAGAAGCAAATATAATAACCTCTCATAGTCAAACTAAGGGAAAAAGTCAGATATAAACCAAATGCAACAAGAAATAAACAAATAGAAATATAGAATAATTATTCTCTTTTATAATTTTTCATAGGTCTATGAGAAAATTCCTACCTGTAGTCTCTATTACAATGTGGTCAAATTTCCCTTTCTTCTTATTGACTAGCTCTCCAATCATCCTCACAAGATCACCCCTTACAGTACAGCAGAGACAGCCATTGTTAAGCATGATTATGTCCTCAGTCCCAGCAGCTTTAGCAGCAACGAGAGAGCCATCGATGTCTATCTCGCCATACTGACATGTTCAATTGAAAATTTCAAATTACTCATGTTGTATCTCACCCACTCTAACGATTTTCAGAAAGACTAACTATTCTGAGCCAATTACTGCCATCACAGCAAGCAAAGTATTTTAAAGTGGAATCAATCTCCGTACCTCATTCTCTATCACTGCTATGCGCTTCCCGTGATCTGCAGTCAAGATGTGATTGAGTAATGTTGTCTGTTCAACAACACATGAAAACAGATCAATGCAACCAGCCAACTGATTCAATTTTCAATAACTTGAAAAGAGAAAAGCTGAATTCCTATCAAAAGAAGAACTAAAAATTTTTATTGCCAAATTTAAAAATGCTAACACGAGACAAATAGGTGCACACCATTTCAACAGTCAGCATTGTTGAATAAGATTTTAACATATTTTTAGTCAACAAGAAAAAAAAAAAAAAAAAAAGGCCAATTTTCATATGTTAATTTAGCACCCATACAAGAATAACTAAGAATTCCTAAATTGAACAGACATAATATTATGAACATCTATAAGCCATAAATGACAAACTTGGCAATTATTCCTATATATTTTCCACCAAAGGCAACATTTTTTTCCTGCATTTTACAACTATTACTACTAATTCAAAGACCAAAAGCCAATATATTCATCACAACAACGAACCAAACTAAAAGCCCAGAAAAATAACAGAATCGGGGTAAACCCAGTAATGAAGATATTGAACTTTAAAGACCATTTAGGCCTTTGGCAAAGGAATCAGTACCTTGCCGGAGCCCAGAAAGCCGGTAATTATGGTAGCGGGAATGCGATTATCAGGCGGAATTTTTGAAGAAACATCGGAATCTTCGGTCTGAGGAGTCGTAGTAGCGACGGCAGATACTGAGAACCGGCGAAAGCGGTTAGTTTTGGAGAAATTGGAGGTGGAGATAATCGTGCAATTCGTTTTGGAAGAAAGGGATAGGGTACTGATGGTGGTGGGTTTGAAGAGGAGAGGGAGAACCGTAGTTCTGATCACGGAGAGAGGCGGGGTTTGGGGTTGGTGGCGGTGGCGGTGACAACGTGATGTGAAGTTGATGAAAGTTGTGGCTAAGTCCGTTGATATGAGAGTTGCCATTTCTTTGTTTGTTGGTTGGTTCTTCCTGCGGGGGAATTTGACAAGGGAAGGAAGAAAGAAAGAAAAAGAAAGAGGTGTTTATCTGTGGATGTGGACTGTGGTGGTTTCTGTTTCGGGGTTTAAGTTCGAGATATTTCCGAGGAATTTGGGGCTTGGGATTTTTAAATTTTGTGTGGGGGGGGACTTCTATAGTTTGGTTTGCAAATAATAATCATTAAATTTATATAATTAAATAGTCAAATTTTAAAATAGGAAAAGATAAAATTTGTTTATCAAATAACGAGAATGTACAATAAATTTTTATAAAATTTTATATATAATTTATATAATATTCACTTTATGTAATAGTTTTTTATTTTTTATTTGATTGCATATTTATGAAATTATTTAAAAATAAAAAATAATAATAATAATAATTTTTCATTTTTAAAAAAATTTTAATGTAATTAGTATTTTTTAAAATAGTTAAAAAATATTATAAAAATAATTCTAAAAAATTAAAAGTACTAACTTAAAAATTATTTCAAAAAAATTTTAATTAAAATAATTTATATTTTAAATAAAAATAAAAAGTTATTAACATAATCAAATAAGAGAAATAATAAAATTTATATCAATTTACATAAATAGGATAGAAGAGTTACAACACGATAAAAGATAAGTTATGAAAAATTTAAACATAATTGAATATAAGAAAAAAAATGTTAAAAGAATTATTTTAATGTAGATAATTAAGTTAATAACATAAATTTTAAATTAATTACTTTTCTTATAAATATATAAGAAAATAATTAAAAAAACATTTAAGAATAAAAATTAATGAAATGATATTGTATAAAAAAATTTAATTAAAAATTTATTAACATAATCATATTAGAAAAATCATAAAATTTGAATAATTTAACGTAAAATATGTTAGAAGTATCGTAATACCTAAGAAATAAATATGATAATTCTAAATTTAATAAAACATAAAAATAATCATGAAAAGATATTATTGTAATATAAATAATTAAGATAGAAACCTAAAATTTTAATTAATTATTATTTCTATAAATATAGAAGGAAAATATCTAATAAATAAAAAAATATAGATAACGTAAATAACTAAAAAGAAACGTAACGTTCGTATCATTTGATATAAAATAGGTAAAAAGTGTCATAACACACTAAAAAAACTATGATAATTCTAAACATTTTGGAAGTAAGAACAAAAGTAAAATATATTATTATGTTGTAAATAATTACGATGACAATATAAAATTTTAATTAATAATTATTTATGTATATATATAAATAAAATAGCTACAAATTAAAAAATAAATTGGCAATATAAACAAGTATGAAAAACGTAAAATTAGTGTTATTTAACTTAAAATAGATAAAAATGTCATAATATATTAAGAAAAGTTATGATAATTTTAAACATAACAAAAAATAAGAAGAGCTGTAAGAAAATATTAGTATAACGTAAATAATTATATTGGCAACTTAAAATTTTAACTAATTATTATTTTTTAAATATAAAAAAAATAGCTAAAAATTGAAAAATAAATAGATAATGTAAAATGAGTATTATTTGGTGTAAAACTGAAAAAAAATATCGTAATATAATAAAAAAGAGTTATTATAATTCTAAACAAAACTAAGAGTAAGAACAATCATAAAAACAAATTATTATAATGTAAATAATTAAATTGTCATAAGAACAATCATAAAAACAAATTATTATAACATAAATAATTAATTATAAATATAAAATTTTAATTAATTATTTTTTTAAACATAGAAGAAAAATGCCAAAAAAAAAAAAAAACATATTGGTAACGTAAATAAGTGAAAAAAAAAACATAAAATTAGTATTATTAAGCAAAAAATGGGTATGAATTATTATATTGCACTAAAAAGCATTATGACAATTCTAATCATAATGAAAAGTAAGAATAACCATAATAATATATTATTGTAACGTAAATAATTATATTAGCAACGTAAAATTAGTATAATTTGGCCTAAGGTAGATAAGAAGTGTCGAAAAACATTAAGAAAAAAGTTATGACAATTTTAAATGTAATGAAAAAATAAATGACCGTAAAAAGTTATTATTATAATAAATAATTATGTTGAAAACTTTAAATTTTAATTAATTATTGTTCCTGTAAATATATAAGAAAATAACTAAAAATTAAAAAATAAATTGATAATATAAATAAGTGAGAAACATAAAATTAGTATCATTTGGTGTAAAATGAGTAAAAAGTGTTTTAAAACACTAAGAAAATAGCTATACTAATTCTAAATGTAATGGAAAGTAAGAAAAATCATAAAAATATATTATTATAATATAAATAATTATGATGGCAATGTAAATTTTTAATTAATTATTATTTTTGTATGTATATAAAAAATAAAATAGTAATGTAAACAAGTGAGTGTAAAATTAGTATTATTTGATGTAAAATAGATAAGAAGTGTTATAACATACTAAAAAAGAGTTATGACAATTTTAAATATAATGAAAGATAAAAATAATTATAAGAACATATTATTGTAACATAAATTATTATGTTGGCAATTTAAAATTTTAACTAATTATTAGTTTTTATATATATAAATAATATAACTAAAAATTGAAAAACAAATAGATAAAGTAAAAAAGTGGGAAAAATGTAAAATTAATATAATTTGACTTAAAATAAGTAAAAAATTGTCATAACATGCCAAGAAGAAAAATGATAATTCTAAACATAATTAAAGGTAAGAACAATCATAAAAAATAAATTATTGTAATGTAATTAATTAAGTTGCTAATATAAAATTTTAATTATTTATTTTTTTGTAAATATATAAGAAAAATAGCTAAAAATTAAAAAATAATTGGTAATGTAAACAAGTGAGAAAAAAAGTAAAATTAATATTATTTGACGTAAAATTGGTATAAATTGTCATAATATGCTAAAAAAATTATGAAATTTTAAACGTAATGAAAATTAAAAACAACAATAATAATATATTATTATAACATTTGTAGATATAATGAAAAGTAAAAACAATCATAAAAAAAATTATTATAAGAGTAATAATTATGTTTACAATGTAAAATTTTAATTATTTATTATTCTTATAAATATAGAAAAAAAATAGTTAAAATTAAAATATAAATTAACGACGTAAACAAGTGAGAAATAATATAAAATTAATATCATTTGGAATAAAATGGGTTAGAAATGTCATAATGCACTAAGAAAAAGTTACAATAATTCTAAACATGGTGAAAAGTAAGAACAATAGTAAAAATATATCATTGTAACATAAATAATTATGATGACAATATAAAATTTTAATTGATTATTATTTTTGTGTGTGTGTATATATATATATATATATATATAAGGAAAATGGTTAGAAATTAAAAATATTTGTAGTGTAAACAAGTGAGAAGAAACATAAAATTAATATCATTTAACATAAAATAAGTAAAAAATGTCATAACATACTAAGAAAAAACTATGATAATTTTCAATGTAATAAATGACAAGAACAACCATAAAAAGATATTATTGTAATGTAAATATTTAAGTAAACAAAATAAAATTTTAATTAATTATCATTTTTATAAATATATAAGAAAAATAACTAATAATTAAATAGCAAATAACTAAACAAATAGGAAAAACATAAAATTCGTATCATTTAGCATAAAATAAGAAAGAGTTATAATTCTAAATATAATAGAAGGTAAGAACAACTGTAACAAAATATTATTATAGCATGAACAATTAAGTAGATAACATAAACTTTTAATTGATTATTATTTTTATAAATATATAATAAAAATAACTAAAAATTAAAAAACAAATAAACCATGGTGTTGCCACATGAGAACCAGAGGGGCCATGGCCTCCTTGAGAATTTTGAAAGTTATTAAGATATATATACACACACATGATGTTATGTGAATTTATTTAGATATATCTTTCAAAATAAATAAATGGTATCTTAAATATATAATTATTTTCCATTAATTTTCATTTATAATTTTTTTCAATTAATTTTCATTTATAATTTTCTAAGTCATTGAATCTTAAAAAATATATATCATAAAATTTTTCAAGTTTTAACATTTAAACTTTATTTTATCTAAAAATGAAAAATCCATATAAATAATAGGAAACAATCAACTTACCTTAATGTAAAATTAAAAAGTTGTACATTTTTTTAATTATTAATTTTTTTAGATTAAAGGGATGAAGGAAATAAGTGAAAAGGAGAAAAAAAAGTTTAATCTCATCACTTGAATCTATTAAAATTATATTAAAAAAAGTATAAAACTTTTTTATGTAAGTTGATACCTCCCATAAATAATAGCTTTTAAATTTAATATTTTTGTAAGCTGTGAAGATTTTTTTATATAAAATGATTTATTTTTTATAGTGTCAATAAATAGAATAAACACTTTTAATTTGGAATGGAGTAATTCAAGTTCTATTCATTGAGAAATTATGCACTAATCACTAAATAAAATACTCAAGTGTATATAAGCTAAACACTTTAATAATAAAAGATAAAATAGAAAAACATATAAATTCTTAAGTAAAATTCATGAAATTCACGTCTAAAAACGAGTTACATGAAAAATCATGAATGAAAACCAAAACTAATACTCATACTATAGTTTAGGAGTTTTGATTAGATTATTTACTTTAAACTTTTGAAAACTTTAAAGCTATAATGTATTGATCTATTTATTAAGTTCGATTAATCTATCCGTTTTAATCTTTAAATTTTTTTACATTATTTTTATTAGAAACTTTCAATATTTCATGAAAAGTTATATCTAATTCGTTTGTCTTTTTAAAAAAATAAAAATTACTTGGCATTTTTTGAAAAGCTGACCTCACAAGTTATTTTGAATTGATAAAAAAAAAGTAATAATAACTAGGACAAATGACATGAATTGATAAAAATAGACTTTTAACTAAATATTTACTTTTAATATAGTTTTATTCTTAATTTTATGTATAAAATATATCCATAATATAATATGTGTACATAAATGATTGTGTGCTCACATATAATTTGCCCTCCTTAATAGAAATTTTGGCTTTGCCATTACAAATCAATAACGTAAACAAGTGAAGAAAACGTAAAATTTGTATCATTTGTCGTAAAATGGGATAAA